TGTCATCCTAAAAGCTGGATTTGGGAATGGAAGTTCCCCCTGCAAGAGTTAGAGGATAGGATAAACATACGTACTTGGAAACAATTCCATCATTTTTCGCCAGACGCAAAATGGAGTCATCTGATTCACCCTGTAAAAACACAAAAGAAAATATTCTCAAGTGTCCAAATAATTGCTGACACGTGTGGAAGAAAGGCAGCTGCAGCAGTTAGTGCAGATTAGTGTTTTCAAAATAAACTGTTAGTTCTTTGTCATCCTTAAGGGTAAGAAATTGCTTTAACCACATAAAAATATGCACTTGCATGAACATATATTTATGGATAAGTGGACTTGTGATGAACTCCTAACACTATTTTTAAGTCAAGGTAGTATCACCTCCAGTAATTATAACAGATAAAAGCCAGGATTAATACCTAGGAATTCATCCTTAAAAGAAAGAAAATCATTTGCATCCTTTATCTAAAAAAAAGAACCAAACAAGTATCTCCAGAAGAAATTGATTATTCCAAATTAATCCAAGGTCCTGGCAAGGGATGCTCTTTGAAGCTGTGACTGCCCCACCCCTGGCAGTGTCCAAAGCCAGGCTGGGCAGGGCTTGGAGCAGCCTGGGACAGTGGAAGGTGTCCCTGCCCATGGAAGGGATGGAATGAGATGAGCTTTAAGGTCCCTCCAAACCAAACCTTTCTGTGATTGTGTGAATTTGTTCACATCTTCATTATCCCCAACAGCCACTTCGAAAACACACTTCACACAGGGCCAAATACACACCTAATTAATGACTAATGATGAGAAAAAGCAGCACAGTCACTGTGCAGGTCAGGAAGGCACTCACCATTCTCCGGATGGGGCCACAGATGGCGTAAGTCTTGAACTGGCCGTTCACTCTGCCTGTCACCTTGTCCACCTGCAATCACAGCAAAGCTGCTGCCCACAGATTCTTACAAGTTTTACACTCTCACACTTGTCAAGCACCCAAAGTTAAAAACTGCAGAAAAATACTTGAAGTGTTCAGAAAATAAACCACAAAATCTCACGGCAAATACTGAAGTTCAAAAGTCAACTACAATGATTTTTGCACAGCAAATTCGTAGCTACAAAGTGCAGCCATAAAATTTAGTGGATCACACAGATTGTCAAGAAATGGTAGCTAAAAAAAAAAAATTTAGTTCTAAACAAATGGAAAAGCTCAGTGTAAAGTAGATTTTCCTGCCTTTACTCTTTTTTTGTGTCTTTTAACTAAGGTAATATCATGGAAAATTGAACTGAAGGGGGAAGGGCACAGACTTGTTACATGGGTAGGAAAATGTCCAAGCTAAGAGACCTAAATTTTATCACTTTCTCAAGCTGCTGAGAAATTTAATAGGAAAACGACTATACAATATAAATCATGGAATTAAACAGTGTAGTGAACCCTGTAATACCAGGTGGGTTCACTTCCATGCCCTGCTAATCTCTGATCCTTTGAAAACAAAGAATAGGGATCACTGAAGGAATGAAACATGGTGAACAAGGAAAGTATTTGCCTGAACAACTACAGGACATCAGAATCAGCGTGGTTTTTTAAAGGGTTTTTTTGTGGGATAACTCAGGAGACTCAGATTTTTAAAAGATATGGGAATGTGGTGTCCCATTCAAGAACCAAATCAAGCTCTGTAGCTCATAAGCTACTGGAATATTGTGTACACAAAATTCCTAAAAGCTGAATTTAATAAACAACTGGGAAAATACCCCAAACCATGCTACAAGGAGCTTAAATTAATTGGAATCCACGTGTATTAACTGGGAACCTGCAGGAGTCAAGTCTATTGTGACTTTCTTTATTGAATTACTGAAGATACATCACAAGCTGTTTAATTCTGTAACTTTTATCAAAAGTTTAAGGGTTTAGCTCTCATCACATATCCTGTTAATGAACTTACCTCAGAGATGTTTATCTGAATGGAAGCATGATCCTTAGCACCAATGATTCGGTTGCTAGCAGAGCTAAGGAATATAACAGGATAGATTCAAACATAAGGAAACAGGCAGTGACAATGACAAAAAAATATACTAGAGCCAATTCTACAGGCAAATTAAAACTGCACAAGAAATTCAGATTGCAACAGTTTAAGCTTTCATTGCTTAGAAGATTAAAATGCAGTTTTAAGTACATTTAAAGGAAATTTTCACTTGGTAACACACTAATTAGCCAATTATCCCTTCACTTTTATTTCTATGTGCCCAGTTCATTTTCATACAGTGTACAGGGCAGTACAGGCCTTCAGAACAAACAGAAGGTTAGTTTCTTTTCTAAAATGCAAAAACACAGTCATCAAGTAAATTAATAAGATTAATTTCTATGCCTTTTTTGCTGAGAGCCACTACAGCTGTCAAACACTAAGGCTGGAAATGCTCAGGAATCACAGGCTGTAAAACATATTTGATTTAATCTAATAAGATTCAAACAAGTGACTTATTTTCAGCAATTTTTTAAACTGACAGAAAACTGTTTTTTCCTCCTCCATACAGATATTCAGTGCTACAAAAAGCCCCTTGGGGGCCACTCCAGTCCTGCCCGGCTCCTCAGTCACCACTCACCATTTCCGAGGGACATAAAGGTCCACGAACTCCCCAGCGTCGTTCTGCATCTCGTCCTGGTCCCTGCTGAGGCACTAAGCACAAACACCTGGAAGAATCATGGAATGTCGTGAGTTGGAAGGGACCCACAATGATCATCGAGTCTAAATCCTGGCCCTGCACAGACATCTCAAAATCCCACCCTGAGCATCCCTGGAGCGCTGTCCGAACGCTCCTGGAGTTCTGGCAGCCTCGGGGCTGTATCCGTTCCCTGGGGAGCCTGGACACTGCCCAGCACCCTCTGGGGGAAGAACCTTTCCCAAAATCCCCCCTCACCCTCCCTGCCACAGCTCCAGCCGCCGTGAGGTGATGCCGGAGCTCGGCAGGGCCCACGGGCTGTGCCCTGCAGCCGAACCTGGCGGGCGGAACAGACTCCGCCGCCCCCGGCCTCAGCATCAGCATCGCTCCCGGGGCTCCGCCGCCATCGCGCCCGCCACCGCTCCCGGCCCCGCCACCACCGCTGCCATCGCTCCCACAGGCCCTGCCACCGCTCCCGGCCCCGCCACCACCGCTGCCATCGCTCCCGCCACCGCTCCCGGTCCCGCCACCGCCGCTGCCATCGCTCCCACAGGCCCTGCCACCGTTCCCGGCCCCGTCACAGCTCCCATCGCTTCCACCGGCCCCGCCACCACTCTCGTCGTTCCCACCGGTCCCGCTCCCACCAGTCCCAATCCCAGTCCCGGTCCAGGTCCCGGTCCCGGTCCCAGTCCCAGTCCCAGTCCCGTTCCCACCGCTCCCAGTGCCGCTCCCACGCTCTCACCTCGCGCGCGGCCTGGCGGAAAGGAAGGGGCGGTGCCGGATACGGAATTACGTCACATACAGAAAAGCACTTCCTGCACGACCGCGTGACGTCACGGCGCGGGCCATGGCGGCGCCGGGGGAGCCCTGGCCGGCAGATCCGCCTCGTAGGGCCCCACAGCGCTCCCAGCTGGGGACAGGGCATGGATGGGGCCTGGCCTGGCCCTTACGGGGCGCGGGGATCGTCCGCTCCCCGGGCCAGCCCCCCGGTAGGGGCTGCGCACCTGAGCGGGGCTCTCAGGTGCCATTCCAAACACACCCGTGGCACCTGCTCCAGGTGAGCCTCCCTCGGCAGGTGGCTTGGACGGGATGGTCTCCGGAGGTCCCTTCCATGCTGAACTCTTCTGTGATTCTGTGACCACACCACCCCGGAACCCTCGCAGAAGCCCAAAAGACCATTCCGAGCTGCTGGAGAGGGGCTGGTAGAGGCCCCACGATGATGAGGGGTCTGGAGAAGACTGAGAGGGGATCTCCTCAGTGCATACAAATATCTCTCCAAGGGGTGCCAGAAAATGTTGCCAGACTCTTTTTAGTGGGGCTCAGCAACAGGACAAGGAGAAATGGCCATAAACTAAAACACAAAAAAACGCCATCTGAACCTGAGGAATAATTTTCCATTAAGGGTGGCAGAGCACTGGAACAGCTGCCCAGGGACATCAGGGAGTCTCCATCCCTGGAGACATTGCAAACCCACGTGGACACATTCCTGTGGCACCTGCTCCAGGTGACCTGCCTTAGCACAGGTCAGACACGATGATTTCCAAAAGGCCCTCCCAACACCATCCATTCTATTATTCCAAAATGAGACATTTGGTTACAAATCGTGTACCAAAACAGGTTTTATTTCACAGCATCTTAATTTCACAAAAAAACAAACAAACAAACCAAAACAGGCCACAACTCAGACTTTTAAATAATGAAATATGACAAAACCAGAAGAGTTTTTGTTTACAGGAAAATGTACAGGCTCTTCTCAAGAGAGTTCTCCGTGGTGAGCCACCCCAGCAGCACCTTCACAAAGCACCAGAGGCCCCTCGGTGTAAATCTGTTTCTCTTCAGAGCAAGAGGAGTTTGGCTGTGCAAACGTAAACCGGCAGATCTGGGTCTGTGTTTGTGAACAGACAAGGTACTGATAGTCCTTTGCCACACGGTGGCAGCTTTTAGGTGAAAAGAGAGAGATTCCCACCCAGGACTGCGAGCTGCGCTCTGGAAACGGCAAAAGTGGCGGGCGAAGCACAAGGAGGTGGGGCTGGGTCCATGGAGAAAGGCTGTGCCCGCACACGCACACACACATATACACACACACATATACACACATAGACACACACACACACACGAGGCATCCCCTGCACAAGCCCCAGGCTCTGGGCAGCATCGCCCCAACGCCAGGCTCTGCCCAGACAAGGCTGGCACAGCCCTCGTGCCCTGTGTCATCCTTGGCCCGTGCTCCCCCGCAGCTTCCCAAGTGTGTGCCCGAGCCAAGTTCTAGAATAACTATTAGACAACATTCAGCTTTCTGTAATTTAATGCTCCTTTGTCCTAATTTGTTGTCCTGGAAGAAAACAAAAGCTTGCCGGTTTTATGACGTAAACTCAGAGATTCTGGGAGTGTAATTACAGCCCAAATGGCCACTTGAACTAGACAAACTTCCACTGAACAGAGACTGCAAAGTGTTGCAAACCGAAGTGCATTTTGTTCCTTTAGATGGTGAGAAAGGAAAGTTAACGTTGTTACAGAAAACTCTTTGTACACTAAATTAAGAAGTTTCCAGAGAAAGACACATTCAGATTTCATTCATACTAATCAAGCTGTTCTGTGAGAAATTTCTTTGTTGTACCTCTGTTCACTCCACAATGCCTTGGGAAGTGATGGACCACCTCAGCTGTCTGCACCACTGTCTGTTAATCTGGAGGCTCATTACACACTAGAGGTTTAGTACATCACTATTTTGGCATGCAAGGACGGTTATATTCAGTAGAAAGTTTAACTAGTAGGCAATTTTTTAAACCTTTGGAAGATAACTGGCAAGCTTGTTGTCTAAGCTATTAGCTACCATCTCACTTCTGGAGACTGGAAAGTCCTTCTGTGTTAGAGAAATCACAAGCATATTAAATTTTACACAAGTAATTTGAAGCTACATACAGCTGAACACAGTTACAAAAGGTTTGATAGTCACTGTAATTATTATATATGAAAAATACACTTTGAGCCCCACTCAGAGAAGAAGGGGGTCCAGTAAAGTTTGCTGCAATTCTAATGAAGCCAAATTAGCTTCAGACAAAACACAGCTGAAGAGCAAAGATTCAGCTTTGGTTTTGGCTACAACCAATATTTAATACAAGGAACAGGAATTTACAGATTTACATTACTTTACATATTGGATAGCAAGTCCCTGACCTCAGCATGAGGTCTGGTAGTTTATGAGTCAAACTTAAATTACAACTTCCTCAGTTGGAATAACAAAGTATCACTCTTGTTCCTTGCAAATGGACCCAGTAACTTGTATCATAATATTGCTTCAGAAAATAAACCCAAGAACCAATACCACAGAAGGTTCCACATATAATCAAGAATTCATTCCCAACCTGAATACTGTAAAAATAAAGGAAGGAACAGCCAATGGGCAGAGAAGTTCTTTGAGCTCTGTGTATGCACTAGAGAGCTGCTGGGCACCAGCCAGTAGTGGCTGCTCAAATGTGCAAGAAATGCCAGTTTTATGAGGACCATCACAGTGATGCAACGCTTGGAAGAACAGAGTTAAAAAAGTAGCATTTTAAATACTGAACACGCCTTGTTTCATTGGCTTCAGTTGGCAGCAGAAACTCCACTGGCTTCATATTTGCTCAGATATGACCATCTATATATAATACAGTCATCCCAAAAAAGGTGCTTGTTTCAGGCTATGGAACAGTGAAACAAATAAAACCCCTAAATGAAATATTTGACAGCAAATTGCTCTTAGTCAAGTGCTCATCTTCCTCTCAAGAGTGAATTAGGATGGCAATCACTTTCCAGCTACCTCACTCAACATGTGGTACTTCATAACAGGTTTCCAAACCACTTTTCCTTCTAAAGTAAAATGTATATTTTGAAGTTGTTTATAGTAAATAAACCAAAATGGAGTAATTTCCATCTCACTACTTATAAATCATAGAATAGATGCCCTGTATATTATTAGTGCAGATATACTGGAATTGTTTTCCTTGTATGCAAGGCCAATGCAGGTAAAGAATAAATGGCTATACAAATTCAGGATTCCCCACTAAATAACAGAACTAACTTAAAAAGCACTGGTACCAGACCAGCCAGTTTAGGCACATCTTTAAAAAAATAAAATATGTATTTCATTAATGTAAAAATGTAAGAAGGTTCTTAGAAACATCTGAACTTTATGGTGCACTGGAATGGAAGTGATGTTCCTTTAGTTTCAAGGAATACAATAAAGGCTTAAAACAAAACAGAAGAAAAATAACCAATACCATAGTATTCTTCATAGGGAAGAACAGCTTTAGTAAAACCAGGAAGATAAATAAGGAATAATAAGCAGCCATGACAGCTGATTGATGAATATTTGTGCTTTAAATGTCCAAAAGAAAACAAAAGTTCAGTAACTCTTCTTGTACCATCCCTCAGATTTGGCATCTGTGTCCATAGACCTCGACAGTTCCCAACACCCTGCAGCCTTCCCAACGAGCTGGAGCTGGCACCTCCACCAGCAGCATCCTGGGATGGGATCCCAGCACAGCTGGATGCCGGCTGGGATGGAGCTTTGGTTAAGACTGTTGTGTGAGCCGTCTGTAATGAGGTAAAACTTGGTTTTCAGGGAGATACAGAGCCAGTTCCAAAGCTACGAGGACGGTGAATTCGAAACCGATGAGATCTCTTCTGTTGAATCTGAATCTCTCCTCTAGTTTCTATGACAGTAGTAACAAAACAAAGGAGGGGAGAAAGAATCAGTTAATCCAGGTGATTTCAAGGCATTGTTAGATTAAGTCAGTGATGCATGGCCTGAGCTGTAGCTTCAGAATTAAAACCAGCTTATCAGCTCAGCTGTGACACCCACACAACAGTTACTGCTTCTCTGGCAAACACATGCAAGTGCAAAAATAACTTTACTGTAGGATCAGTAAGACACTAGCCTGCACCAGGCAGATAGTTTTAATGAAGAGCCCTAATAAGACATAAAACTGGTCTTCCATGCAAGCACAATCCACTGAAAACCTTGCATTTAACCTTTGCCTATGAGCTAGGGAGGAGGTTCTGACAATAGCTGGAACAAGGCTCACAGCACTTACATCTATTAGGTGTTTAACTTCGTGTTTCCTGAGGTCACTGCTGATCTTGGCTGCGAGCAGAACACAAGCACCAGCACACAGTTTGCGGTTCTGTTTGTTGAGTTTGCCTTGGAGGACGAGCTTCTCAAAGTAAACATAAGCCATGGAGACAGTCACCGGCTCCAGACTGCACTCCTCACTCAGGTTTCTCATCTCTCTCTTTAAACTGGGAATAGAAGAATGTTGGGAAGGACAAAAATTTAACAGAAAAGTTTTACAGATATACAGAGGATTCTATAGAAATAAAAGCTTTGACATATAAAAGATGCTTTTAGGGCCAGTTGTTGCTGAAACAGCTGAGAGAACAAAGGTTTAGTCGAGTTAGAAAGAGTTTTATGACTAAAGTCCAAAGACTAAGTGGCCTTCAAGCAAAAGGATAAATCTTCTTCAAATAAGGCATGTTTTTTACCAAGCAAAAAAGCATAGGCAGACAGAAAGATGTTTTTTACCAAAGCTAGAAGAAATTTCCACTGCAAAACAAGTTCCAAAGTTTAACATGTAACTAATAACTCAGATGATTGGCTAGTCACTAACATAATATAGTAATTTTAGCAGTTTTAATAGGTTATATGTCAATGTAAAAAGTATTGATTGGTTGTTATGTAACAAAATGCACAGCAGAAAAAGAACTATAATGCTTTGTAACATGAATAGAATGGGGCTTCAGGACACATGGCTTGCCTATAGCAGCAGCTATAGGTTCACCCACCATCCCCAACTGCTGTAACCTCATCTATGCAATAAACAGCATTTTAAGAGCTGTCTGAAGCCTCCATTTCTCTGTCAGGCTCTTCCAGGAGAAAAGACATTCCCCCCCAGACATGACAGATTTTATTAAATGCTGTAGAAATTCTGCAGCACAGCAACTCAGAGGAGCATATGGGCAAGACTCCTATTTGGAAAACCATGACAAGTATTATTCTAGAGTGGAAAAGCCCAGCTGGCAGCAAGCTGGTGCTGATGCACAAACTGATTTCACCTGGCTGACAACATTCACTGTGGTGGAACAACTCATCTGCCCATAAACACCAGAGCTTAGCTGCCTCACTGACACACAGGCTATTGCTGTAGGATTCCTTCTGGGCTCCCAAACTGGTTTATGATTCATATCCCAAGAGTGAACCACTGGGACCTACAGAAAACCACATCAGAGCCCTGCAGATGAGAGCAGTTGCTGCGTAGAGACCTGTCTAGAACACACCTTGTGTAAGAGCCAGGTGTGAGGGGAAGGCAGCCTGCTTTCCACACTTCCCTTCACCTCAGCATTTAGCAGGCTTGGAGGTGGATGGTTCCTCTCAGGGCTGCCATCCACGCTGTACCTGCATGATCTCTGCACAAACACACTGCTCTGGACTGCTGCAAAGAGGAGCATGCAGGACTCAGGCAGAACAGACTGCCCAAGCAAACCTTCCCTGGAGCTGAGCTACACATGGCCCTGGTGACTCAGCAGAATCATATTTAAGATGGCTATTTCAACAGACTCTGATTGCATTAATCTCCCTGTAACACCAGCAAGATTACAGCTCTCTGAAGGTGCAACAGTGCATCTTGGTGAGGAGTGACCAGATCATTTACTCAAGGATGAGAAATTCTGTGTTGACTTCACAAAAAGCTTTTCTTTACCAAGTCTCCCCAGATCTAACACTCTTTATCCTGCAATCTTCTTAGAGTTTATGGTCATCAGTGAGTCTGGTAATTGAAAGGCAAAAATAGCCAGAGGGCTCAGAAAGCCAATCCAGTTGGAGTGGGATTGCACTGCAGCCAAGCAATCAGGTTACAAGTGTTTGTTTCAAGGCTAATGCTACTCCACTGTTAATTGGCTCCTAGTGTTAGTACACCACAGTTGGTGAAACAAAACCCTTTAAGTGGAACTTTGAAAACCAACTGTTACCCTTTCTCAGCATCCTAAACATTCCAGTACAGGGCTGTCATCCTACAGTCAGCTCAACTGACAACAGGAGATTAGTGTTTAATCATATATGCTATTAATAGATTTAGTATTTGCTCCATACAAGTGCAGCCTCAGACAGTGTGGATGATGTTCTTGTTATTCAAGGCTTATTTCTTACCTCCTAATTTTGCTCAGTGTCAACTTGATATGAGGAAACTTCTCTCTAAAGGTTTCATTCATATCCTTTTTAAGGTCTGAGGGTTTCACATACTCTATGACTGTAGTCTGAAATGCAAGAAGCAAAATGTATCATTTGTCTTGTGAACAGGACTGACAGCCAAACAACTCTTCCAAAAACACTAATGCAAACTTGAGTTTTATTATTCACAATTTAACATTTCTGAAATGTCCCAAAGTTGAATCCCAACTATAGACAAATTCTTAAAAAAATAGTAAGCAAATGGTTACAAGAAGTAAATGACAACATGAAGACAGGTGTCAGGTTTGCCCTTGACAAGCTCACTGTACAAACTCAACTGTTTGTATTTTTCCTGATCAATTATGAGAAAAACCACTTTTTCTTCCTAGAGGAATTTTTCTTCCTCAAAAAAAACTCTTTATAGGAGGATCTGTTAGGGAGCCTCTCCTCTGTTCAGGTATGCCAGTCACTCACCATGTAAGAGGCAAAGATGAGAACACGTTTATGTTTTCCACAGGGCCACTGAGGATCATCCAGAAGATCTGGATCATACTCTGTGGCTTCTCCAGCTTCACTTCCTGAGGGAATGAGGAAAGCACATTAGGTCATCAGATAAAGAGCTTTAAATTCCTTGTTTCCTTCTCAAAGAAGTTTTCAAATAGCAAACGTTAAGTGTTGGCAGATCTCACAGTTCAGGCAAATTTCAGCCAAAGGCACACGTTTGCATTTCATAAACGCACCAGTCACAAATTAGAACGATTAAATAAACCACACAAACTCTCCTTCCACCAAACACACACCATGCCTGACATACCATTTCGGATTTAGTGCAAACTGAGTTTACATCTACAAATATACCCAGAAAACAACTGCCCAAGACTGTATTCTTTTTCCTGTAGTCTAACAGACAGCAGAATTGTCAGCTTTGCTCTTTTACACAAGAGAAGGGATTCTTGGCACAAACTCTGGCTTATGCATTGTTACTGTGCTAGAAGGCAAGGAGAACCACCTGGATCCACGTACACCAGATGTTTCTTGGTGAGTAATATAAAACCTTACGTTCCCAAGGAAAAGCTTTGTGCCTCTTGAAAGGCATAAACAGAACTAGGCCAGATATATATAAGGAGTTTGTGGAAGCCTGAGTCCTAAGGCTCATCATTTGCACTGCACTAATGAGCTGCAGCACCTCCATCCCAATAACACACTGACCACTTGTGGATGTCTCAGACAAATCTCTGCCTTTTCTGCTGTGTGCACGAGTGATGGCAGAGCTGGCTGCTGTCCTTACCAATGTCTGTCCCTGCTGGTATGGTTTTTGCTGTCACAGGTTTGTATCTTGATCCAGGAAGACTCCGGGGAGCACTGGCTCGGCAGGGGGGAAGAGCAGCGTAGGCGTCGGCTTTGCGAACAACCAGAGCATTGGTCGGGTACAAGAATTTTGCATAGGACACAACCTGGAAGAAGAGACAGTTGTAGTGGTTGTGGGAGAAAATTTACTGAAAAGCTTATTTCCAGACATCTAGGATTTTCCAAATCAGAGCTCCCTAGAGTCTGGATTTGGGAGTGGGGACCTTGGAACTGTGAGACAGGAGGAAGGGAAAAGTTGGATGAGGCATGCCTTGTTTCCACAACTTTAAAATGAAATGCTGTAGAAGATTTGGTGGGATGGCAAAGAAAAGGTGAGAATCACAAGTAAAAATATGGCATTATAAATTTAACTAAAGCAGTATGAATTTCATCCATATTTCTATCAAAACTTCACTCACATGTTGCCTCAGATAGCAAAGTCAACTCAATTTTTCAGAAACAGAGACAGAAGTGATCACAAGCTTCAGTAGACTCCTCAGAAGAAGCATTATCACAAGCCACAATTTCAAACTATAGGTCTAAAACTTCCACTGCTCTAAAAGCCACAGCTCTCCCATAATGGATAGCAAAGCACTGCATAAAATGACTTGTCCCACCATGAAATGGTCCTGGGGTGAAAAAATAAATGTCCTTACCTTGCCATCAGCACCCAGCTCTACTCCTTCCAGTCCAAGCACCATCTCAGTAGATACTGAAACTCCCCCAGAAGGATGTCGCTGTTTCTGTCCTTCCATCTTCAGATCACTAAATGCAGGTAACAAAGAGCACCATCACAAAATGCAAGCCCAGCTTCCCACGTTAAACACCAACCAACACCACAAAGTCAGAGTTCTGCATGGAAACAAGCCAATCCCTCAATGCCACCTCCAGGAGAGCATTAGTTTTTAACTAATCTTTTCAAAATGTGGAGATGTTCATTAACCAAAGAACCAGATTTCATTTCACTTTAACACAAATCTACTGATCTACTTGTTGAAAGTAAACTGTTTTTAATATGATCTTTCTGCACAAGACCACACCATTCCCAACCCTCTAATGCTCAAACACATAACAGCAAATATAATTTACATTACTTGTTTTCCAGGATTAGAAACCTGCCTTTCAAGTGCAAATTTGCAACCCCTGTGCACACAAGCTCAAGTTAAGAATGGAGCTGCAGATCTCTGTGTCAGCAATGACAGCATGTGGCTTTGTCACCAATATTCCACTACAAAAAAACAGTTTTCAAGTGAAGAACTGCCTTGCCAGCTTGCAAGGAGAACAGCACAGTGCTCAGAACTGCTCTGAAATAGCTCCAGTGACCTTGCTGCCTTTCTATTATGTGGGAGAGTATTTTCCCATCAACTATTTTTATGGCATGTATTTGCATACAATACAATTCCCACCACTAAGCATCCGTTTCCTTTGTCCATAAGTTACAGACAGGACAGAAGTGACAACACAATTGTTTTGCCAGAACAGAATTAGTGTTTTCTATGGTAGAGCTGTAGATAACAGACCTTCACAGAATGGACTTAAACTTCATAAGGAACTGAAGAAAGATGCAGGGAAATCCAGTTTGTGGGTTTTGTTTCTCATATATGATCATACTGACAGATGTAAACAAAAATGTAGTCCAAACACTAAAAGCAGTGTGAATCAGTCCAAACTGCAAAGTTTCTGCTTTTCTTAGGTTGCAAATATCGACATTCACAGCTTAAAGCTGAGAAACAGAAGAACATATTTAACTTATTAGGTGTAAATTTACTATAAAACTTTGAGGATTTCCACTGAAGGCAAGAGCACCCTTCCCTGAAACTCCCTGTGCTTTTTTGTTGTCACCATTGTTCGTAGCTCTAAAATCAGTTGATTTCTGACTACTTTATAGAAAACCTACACAGCAGCCAATCACATTATCTGCTCAAAGTTGATTTCAGAGATTTCACAGGACTGGAGTACTTTAAAATGTGAATAAACACTGGAAGGAAAGTCTAGCTTTTCCAGTTTTTTTCTCTTGGAGTTTGAATGAACACTTTGACACTACGATAGTGTCTGGTTTTACTGCTTTGACAGCAAGCTCTTGCCCTTACACATGAATGGCAGGTTAAATAGGTTCACTTGCTTCAGAACAGGAGACTGACACCAAGCACACTCATTTCAGAAGATCTTTTGAAACAACACACAGCAGGCATTTCACAAAGCAGTTGAAGAGACTCACCTGATCCGTAAGCCCTCCCCGTAAGGTAGGATAGAAAACGCCACACACAGTGTTCGTTTAGCACAGATTAACACTATCCTGTGAGCACATTGGGGAAAGATCAGGATATGAATTAAGATCTGAAGTTACAAAGCAGCTTTTTATGAGATATTAACACTAGGCTCTTCTTATCTTGCTCTGCAAGTCATAGATACTGCTATGGATTTAATGTTTTCAGAAAGCAGCAGAAGAGCAGAGGTTTCACGCTGACCCTGCAGGTCCTTGGGGCTCTCTGTCAAACCTCAGTGTTTAGGACCTGCCATCACCTTGGCAGCTCCTCCTTAAATATATATCTATATTTATGTAATTTTTACATAAACCTTGTGAAAAGATGTAGATAACATTCTACATTTAGACGAAGCCTCACACTTCTATTAATAATAAACATAAATGCAGCCTCCCTTTCTCTACTGCTCAGCAACCATGAGCAAAGAATTTGGCTAAACCAAGCCATTCTCCTTAAATCCTCCTCAGCTCTGACCTCTCTGTATGCCAGAGATAAGGAAAGTGAGAAAAATAAGAAAAGTGAGAGAAGAGAGAATGATTTAACCTCCTCAGAATAGGATGGCAGAATCATCAGTGTACTGCTGCAAATGTAGCAGAGATGAGCACCTACCACCTTTGATAGAAATCTGGATAAAACTAACAAGGCCCTAGGGGCATCTTCTAATTCTCACTGATATTAAATGTCTTACTGTGTGGAACTGGAGGCTGCTTCCTATTGTACACAAATAGAAGGGAACCTTGATGTTACCTGCTGTTCTTGGTGTCATACTGCCTCATGTTCTTGATGAAGTGCATCTTCTTCAAACTTTTGTGTCTTGGAGACCCAGATATATGCTTGGTTCTGCAATGATAAAAAGAAAAACAAACAAAAAAAAGCCAAATCTGTTAAGTGTTCTGAGAAAAATTCATGCCAGTTGTATGATCAGATGGCAGCACTAGCATGCAGGACCTCAGATATTGGCGTGGAAGAGGGTGGAGGGAGGAGAGGACTGCATGCAACGAGTTGAGGTTAATGCTGCTTTTGAAAAAAAGTACCTTCGTACACTGGCATATTCCACTATGTCTTCTAAAAAGTCTAGAGAGCAGCGCTGGGAGATAAAACGCCTTCTGCAAAATGTACAACACCACGAAGAGTGAACAGGATTAGTTCATGGCCTCTGAGTTTATGAACTGCAACAGATCTACGAGCTCTTAGGACGCATGGCAGGCTTTCTGGAGTTTTGTTTTGTTGCAAGAGTGCTTAACTAAGAGTTTAAAATTCCTTAAAAGGCCAAGAACTTGTCTCCCCCTCTAGGACCCTGGAAATACATATTTATACCAACTTTATCAACAAGACCATTCATTATCTGCCACACAGAAGAATGCCTACCTATAAGTTAAACATCTAAAAAGCTCCCAAATACTCATTTAGAAAAAATGAGAAAAATCTGACAAGAATGTCAGAAAAGACCCCCCCATCAAGGCAGGGGAATAAATCATTTTATATCAATTTCAGTTCAGATGCAGGTATATCTGTATGATGACCAAACATCTGTGTGCATTCTCCATTCAGAACAGCTGTCTCCAGCTGCAGGAGCCTGCAGACTGAGAGTCTGCAACTGCAGCTCAATAAAACTGACAGATCTCTCTGAGAAACAATAGAGAGGGTTATTAAAGGAAGCAAAAAGTACTTGGCACCCATGTGAAGTCCTAGAATGGAAGATGCAAGAATAATAATAGTAGGGCTCACGTGAGTTGGTGTAACAGTAATAGGATATTACGTTCAAGCAAAAAAAAAAAATAGACTTTGCCAAAGTAAGATGCATTACTATTGTCCAAGTCAAGTCTTTGTTGGTAGAGATTTACAAATGAATTGTGCAACTCTGACTGCAATTTCCATAGGAACAATGCACTCCACCAGCAAAATGCTGACACTACAACTATCAGAGTCCATATTTTCTGTCTTTGTTTAATGCATTGTGCCACACTTTTAGCACAAGCCACGTGTGTTCAAGTCCAAGGTTTTCTTCCCAAGTGACACAGAAGCTCAACTAATGGGCAATGCTGCCATGGAAGCCAATGCAGAAGCACATGAGACCAAAGTTGCAGGAGTCTGGTTTGACAAGACCAGCTTCTAGCAAAAAAAAAAAAAAATAAAAATCAAACCTCAAGCTGCAGCAGAGCAGACTCTCAGCTCCACTGTTCAGGCACTCTTAAAAGGAAGTAAAGCTCAGAACTCAAACAGGTAGGAGGATGAAAAATTAAGTGTCCCTTTCTGCAAACACAAGGGAGGCAAACCCTCCCACAGGACTAACACTTTCAGTATTGCTAGAGACTGCCTCCTACAAATCCACAGCCATTAAGGTGCAACTGGAGAACATTCCTGGCACAGCTTCAACACCTTCCACCAGCTCTTTGGTTTTAAAATTATTACAGGTTTGCTGCTTTTCAGCAAGAATGGCACAGGAATGTTTAACACTTTCACATTTCTGTGGTTCTCCAGTCTAATCTGGCATCTAAAATTCAATAAAAAACCCTTAGTGAAATGAGGAAGTAACTGCAAACCTCCTGATTCTAATGCAGTTGGTAACATCCACAGTTCTTTCTCTGCTCCCAGGGGAGACCTGGCTGGCTGGAGACAGAAAGACGCCGTGTATGGCAAGCAGAGGAAAAACACAGCTAATGCCAGTGGGCACTGCTACAAAAAAAGCACATAGTTCTGTAAAAGATGCTTGGTGTGAGTAACAAGATGGATTGGGAGAGCCACGACTAGATCCTCACTCCTAACTCCATGGTGGAGACTCATCCAGGGTGTTACACCTTCTGGATACCCCCTTGTTTTCTCAGAAACAGGGACAAGGGTGACAAACACCTGAACCAAGGGCAGATCTGAAAGTAAAACCCTGCTGCAGTGAAGGGAAGATCCCACCCCTTGACTCAGAACCACAATGACTCATCCCCACTCTGCCAACAGGAAACTTCATTTTTAGCTACACTTGTAAATAATTTCTGCCCTCAGCGAAGCTCTCACCTTGGAGGAATCCCTGATGCTGAGCAAGACACTCTCCCTCAAATCTCAAAAGGGGGCGTATGTAAAGAATTCTCACTAATCCAGAGCACCTGAAACAGTTTGTAGGCCCAATCCAACCCTTTACAGCAACACAGCATCCTCAACGTGTTCTGAGAGAGTCACTAGTGCAGTACTTGGAGAATGAAGCAAAATTTGACACTTTGTGAGTAGTCTGCACTTATATATATGCACACACACATATTTGCTTTAGTTTGAGTGCTCTTCTCATGCAGCCAAGTCACACTTGCACAAGAGGGTGCACTGGGTCACTCCAGTGACTGCTAACTTTGATGCCAAAGAAAGTCAAGTCACCTACTCTGTGCTAAGCAGCTTCACCTAGGATAACACTTCTTGCTATGGTCCACGGAATTTGAAGGATTTTAAGTGGTTTACAAAAAGTTTGTTGCTGAAAGCAACCTAAATACTAAGAATACCAACATCTCTACATATGCTGAGTTATTTTATGCAGCCTTACCCATGTGTGACCTGGCAATTAGAAATTGAAATAGCCAACATTAAAATGTTCATGGGTTCCATGGAGCAGGCTGTAATTCCAACAGAAAGTTCAAACATGCCTGCACCAGCCATTGCTCTGACAAGCTATAGAGGATTTAGGTGCTTGTATGTCCCTGGCCAGAAGTTCATTTTTGGGTACTTCCCAGCCTTTTATTTCAGGAGCCAAGTAAGGCCAAAGCAGGACACTCCCAGAGAATTAAAACAGCAACTGTGTTTACAGAGGCAGAACCTGGAGGGGACCCATCAAGAGCAAAAACACACAGAGCACATGCCCAGAGATAAGGGGCTATCAAGTAGAGGAATTCTGGATTACGCCTTGGCTCTTATCTCCATGTGCACACACGGGCTCACACAATCCAACACTGCTGCCAAATCCCTGACCAGCTAAACACACACTTTAAAAAAGCCCACAAAAAACTCGTGTTCAGAAAAACACCCAACAAATTATCTTCAGAGCTACATTCTCACTCCTGCCCTGAGAAGTGGTAGCTAGCCCACACCATTTATTCTTTCTGATGGATCTCCCACTGAGGAAATCCAATGTCTGAGTGATTCCAGCTCCAGAGTTGTCCTCTTCTGGTCCTGCCAGGGTCTCACTGGAACTCTCTGCAGAGGCTGGACACTGGATAAGCAGCAGGGGGATCCCCAGCCCTGAGGGTGACACAGCTCTTAAGTGTTCCCAGCAGGACAGGACACAGCTAAGAGCAATCTATGTATAGCAATGGTAATCCCTACATGTCCTGTCTTATGAATGGAAAGGAAAAGCTTGTTAAGTCACTGCTCCAGATTAGAGAACACTGACCTTTCTGCTGGCTTGCCAGGAGTTTTCTCCCTCTTCTCACCCACACTGGGCTACCTGCAGACACCCAGGAGGACAAGGGTAAAGCTTTGGGATGTTCCTGCAGTTGAAGTGTGCAAGCTGACTATTCTTTAGTAGGTACTGAATACAAGAGATGCTGACCCTGTGCTGTCAGATGTGGCTTCAGGCACAGAAAAGCCTCTTCCACTCCTGCTCCTGGGCCACTAACAGTCCTCTAAGTCCTCACTCTAATGGGTGCCGTTGGGCACCCATGCCCCACTCTGCACTCACAGATTCTGCAACAAACAGCCCTCACAAATCTCATTTTAACCCCTTAAAGCTGGGCCTTAACCCCCAATACTGGGCCTGACAGTGGCCAGTGGTCTTTCTGAAGCCTGTGTGCAGTTGCCATTTGGCCACTTCAAAGCTGCTCTCCACTCTGCCCTTCTGGCTCCTGCATTTCTGCCACAGCAGGTGAACAGACCAGCTGGCCTCCTGAAGGGTGAAACTGGAAGTTTCTAAAATCTCACAGTGGTTCTCCCCCATCCCTCTCAGGCACAGGGCTGCACTCTGAGCCCACCACACAGCCAGAGTTCAACCAGCACAGCACCCAAGTTCATCTTATGCTGTGATCTCTTGTTCTCATCACCTCCAGATCACCAAGCCCTGCAACAGGAGTGTTCAAAGATGCTGCCAAAGCTGGGCAGGACCCGAGCCCCCCTCCAAGGGGTCCAGCAGTGCAGATTTGTTTCCAATGGAGCTGCATCTGTGGCCCTGCTGATGCTGCATGCACACACAGGCACACACCCCAGGCACTGGGCTAAAATTAGCAGCAGGCCAATATCCTCTGCTGCTCTTTAGCCATCCGTACTGCTAATAGATGAGTGGAATGGGGGAGGCCAAGGATTTTTAATTACTGTGTAAAATTAGGGCCTAATAGAATTTGGTTTCCTGTTTCTCACTTGAGTTTTATTTTAATATGATGTCCCTTTGTGATGTCCTTTACAGGCCTCAGTATGATCCCATCTGTCAAGAGGCTGAGTTATTAATATAACAAGGACAAAAAAATAATTTATTCGTTTTTGGAAGCACTAGCTTAGAAACAACTGTCAAAGGTAATTTGCACAAGAAATCCAGATCCCAAATCCTGTTTATAACAGGAAGGTATACCTGTCAGCTTTGTTTTTCCAAGACAGATTTCAAAGATTAAGCTGTATTGTTTTTATTCCTTACGGGCAAGACAACAAACAGATACAAACTGTGCTTGGGCTTCACTAGGTAAAATACAGGCATTGGAGGGATTAAGAAAGCTAGTGCTCGTATTTAAGGTTACTTTTAGACAGCTGCCATTTCTTCTGCAGCCCAGGAGACACTGACTGAGTTGAGGCTTGCATCCCAGAGTGTGTGAGTGGGAGCATCCCTGTTCTGCCATCAGTGCCCTGTGCCTCACCACCCTCGGTGCTCGCACTAATGAGTTTCCTGCTCAAAAGCAGATTGAGTACAGCTCACTGGTAGCAACAAGTTCTCAGTAATTAAAGCCAAAAGAAGCCTGAGACTGCATTTACACTGAATCACATCAAAACCATGTCTTGGGTAAAACAAATGACTTCACAAAGGATCCGTGCCATGAAGTGCCCAGCACCGAGCAGGCCATTTTCATGGGTGGATGATTTCAGCTCAGATGTTCCTTGAGAGGCAGTGGCAGAGAAGAAAGACACTTTGCATCACCAACAGCAAGTGTACAGCTCAGTGCTCCTTCTTCACAAAGTCAGCTACTCGCTGTTTTATGGCACCACAGAAGTGCATCTGGATTGCAGGCCACCATCCCAGGAGCTCTTTCTGACATTTAAGTACCAGCCTGCCAGAAAATAAACTCAAGTCTCACAGCAGGACTAGTTTAACTTATTCATCCAGTAATCTTCATTTTAAAGGGTAAGCTGAAATCAGCCATATGAGTATGAAAAGTACTTTTAGGCTATAGAGCAGGCCCCTCTGTGAGAACCCAGGATGAAGGCCAATTCCTTCACCTTTGTGTTCCTACTCAAGGCTTGTTTGCAAAACTGAAAGGGCACCAGGGGCTTTCTCCAAACCAGGAGAAAATCCTGCACTCCTCCAACACCAGTAAAGCCACATGCAAGGGAAGAATGTGTCACACAGCCTGTGGAACAGATGAGAATGAACAGAAATGAAGGATAATTTGAATGAAGGTGGAGGCTGAGTAAGTGGGAAGCTCACTAAGCCTAGAGAGTTTTAAATACTAACAAGGAAAGAAATTAGATAATCTTCACAGCAGCTGCTACTTCATTGCTGATTCACAACCACATATGATTAAGACCTAATAGAGAATGAGCTTTATATTCATTGAGTTTCATAAATCACATTGTTTTGGTGCTCAGTGTTTAGACAATGCAAGGAGAAAATAATGCCTTCCAGTAAGTATTGTGAAAGCCCAGCTGTTGCAACAGAACCACCAAACCAGATGCAAGGTTTGCTGTGCCCACGGCCCTCTCCAAAAGCTTATTCCTAAAATCCCTGCTGCTTCTCACAAAGCAGACTGCATGTGCTGGCCAGAACACCACCAGCATTTATCCAGATTTCTCCCAGTTTCTGGAGGTGTTTGTAGCTCACCAACCTGGTTGCCCCCTGTCCTTTGTGCTCTGCTGACTCAGCACTGAACTGCTGACCAAAACAGGCACGTGAAATGCAAAGTGTGTCCTTGATGACACTGTGGGCATTATGCTAGAAATATTCATGCACTTCACTGTGAGATGATGCTGTCATTTCATCATGTGCCTTGCTAAATAAAAGCCTTCAGCACAATAAACTCCCAAGCTGAAAAATAAAGGAAGGAGGGAAAAAAAGAAAGAAAGAGAGAAACTTTTAACTGAGAAGGAGGAAATTAAAACTGGTGACTGAAGGAAACCAAAACAAAGCAAGTTTAGAGAGGTCCCACCGGTTTTATGGGCACCTGTTTTTTCCCATTCATCATTCATTCATCCCCTTCAATGCACAGTCAAGAGGTTGTAGCTTCACCAGGGCAAAATTTATGCTTAAACTGCAGCAACCACAACAGAACAATTACAAATATGTCCTTGCTGTTGAGCAAGCAGCCCTGACCAGCAGCAGTTCAGCCCATGCCGTGGGGACTCCAAAATGAAGCAGCTACCCAGCTCTGAGGCAGGTCTGCAGCTCGGGTACCACCACCTGAGCAAGAGCTGGCACAAGAGGAGCATTCCCTGGAGAAGAGCTCCCAGGACCACAGCTCAGCAGGGTCAGCTGACAGCAAGCTCTGAGTTTTAAGGGCTTGGTATGTCTTGTGAAACAGAGGGCCAGCTGAAGGTTCTTCCTTTAACAGCTTTTCAGCGAATAGGTAAATTCCTGTTGCAGTAATTCCAGGTGAATTCCAATTACAGTAGGTTAGATACACAACAGCTGTAAACCAAAGGTCAGGAGTCTGGAGCTCTGTCTGAAGAACTGGGTTGACTGAGTGGCTTTAGCTGAGCACCCTCCATCTGCAGCCACCTGCTCTATCAACAATACCTTGTGCTCATTAAAGAGCCCAAATTTCATTGTGCATGTTTAAAACTCCAACTACAGAGCCAGACACCTTCAGAAACAACCTTCAAAAGAGGGCTCAAAAATATCTTCAAGCTTGCTCAGCCTGACAGCCTCAAAGCTTTAACTGGCTGGCAGATGGAAAACAAGAGAACACAGTATTTAATATACTATATATGTAACATACTACATATAACTAAATAATTACTTTTAATATACTATACTCTAGCACTCCTACAGGACTTGCTCAGTGGAGGTCTAAATGGGATTCCCAAAATTAAGTTATTCTGTATTTCATGTTTAATTTAGTAGTGCTTTCATTCTTGGCTGATGAGCCCTTGATTTGAAACAAGACAACATCATTCTGACCACCCTCATCACTTCCTGCAGAGAGGAGCTTTGAGCTGGAATGCCAAAACCTGCAGCATCCCAAAACCCGCTGCCAGGCCTCCTGCATCATCACTGAAAAGCTGCAGAATCCATCCACAGGTAAAATCAGCTGCAAGTACAGTTAATTGTGCACAGACTACTCCTGCCTGGAGAGCAAAGATACTTTAAAGCCTCTGGACTGTCTAAATTGAAGAGGTCAAATAACCTTGGTGTTGGAAGTGTCTCGGATTGCCTGACCTAGACCCATTCACAGGAGTGCACAGGATACAAGGACTTGGATGTTCTGATCTCCCAAGTTTCCTGCCAGGCATACTACTTACTTCTTCTGCTTAATATACCTGGCTTGGAATGTCTACAGGCAGCTATAAAACACTTAATACTGGACACATGTAATTCACCTGCAGTCAAGAATATGAGAGAAATCTGCTGAAGCAACCTGGGAAGGAGACTGCAGCCTTAACACTTCAGCTGACTTTTAAATGGAGTTCAAGTTTAGAATATGCTCATTTTCAGCCTCAAGCAGCACATCCCAGTCTACTGTTCACCTCTGAAAGGTCAAAGCTTGCCATCTTTGACAGAGCTTGCTGCTTTCTGAAAAGCACCATGTGCCCAGTTTATTCTAAATTAGGATCAAAATTTAAACTAAGACTTTTATTTCATCCATCTCAACAATATCTGTTTATTAGCAGAGGAGTTTTTATAAAAATATTTATATTTCTTGAAGTGACAACAGCAGCTAAACTGACAGCAGGACAAAACAACACATTAACCACCTAAGTATAAAATCCTGGCGAAGCATTTCTGCTGTTCCACCTACGGAACTAATCTGATCACACCTATGTCAGCAATCTGGCATCCAATTAACACTCAAAAGCCGAGTAGGTCCAAAGTGTTGCTGCTATCAACTACTGTTTAAACTCCCACTTTCAAAATGACCTAAATTTGCTGATAAATCAGAAATGACTGAGCTATCACAAACACTCAGTTCAGCTCCCTGACCACTGAACTCCAAGGACATTAAAGCATCAGTCACAAATAATTTAGTCTCTGTGTTTATTCTTAGGCTCAGCAAAACGCAGCAAATTATGGCAAAACCAGCTGCTTTTGCATTACACTATAATGAAACCTCAGAAGCACAACAAGCAGTGACATTCAGGGCTGTGGTTTCCATTTTTCATGCTTTCATAACCTGGCTATTTCCAGGGCTCTGTGCTATCAGTGTTTCCCCAGAAAGCTCTGCCAGTTTCAGACCCAGCTGCAGAAATTCATTACAAATCTGTGAATGCCGATTTGTTCCCTGTTTGCTGCCTCCCTCCACTGCTTTCTGTGAGGCTCGTTCTTTGAAAGAACAAAGGAACAGAGCAAGATGGAAAAGGAGAAGGGAAGAGGGATGGCAAGCAGATCAGGCAAGCTGGTCTAACACAGCGTTGTAATTTAAGATCCTGTAAACAGAAGATTCCTTAGGAAAATGAAAGTGGAAGGTTACAGTCATTAAGTTTATAACGCACAACCAGTAGCACAATGAAACTGAGCATCCAGATTTGAATGGTGCCTCCTCTGCTAAGTTTCCATCCTAAAGGACCTGACAGCTATGGAGGAACTCCAGGTTACATCAGGTGAGCAGACCTCTCGTTCCCTGGGCTGAAATGCAGATCCTGCCTGTTACCAACCACTAAACCCCCAGCTCCAGCAGAGGTGCTGTCACACCCTGCCCTGAGCCATGCTGGCCGGTATCAACCTCCCAGTCAAGTCAAACAAGATCAAGTTTTGTAATAAAACTCTGCCCAACGATACTGTCAGTAGATAGAGATACTGATAGCAGATAGTGATCTCCACTGATCAGGGCAAGCCCCAGCAGGATGAAATCCCTGGATATGGCACAAGACTGGTCACTGAAC